TTTATTTTCCTCAACATCCTTTACTTTGTGCTTCAAACAATAAATGTTAAACCTCTAATTAGAAAATTTTCTTGCTATTTTCTGCATGAACAGTCCTTTTTTTTTTTCCGGGAAAGTTGTTTTCTTATCATATCTTACCTCCTTAATGGCTTCTCTTTTGATTAGAGTTTATAATTGCAACTTCAGATTAATCGCCAACGCTTTGAGGATGCAGGAGAGATGGAACATGTTAGCAACAGTGCCCATCAATGAGTTATGTATGCTAGTTTATTTGTCGTTTGGCAGAGTACACTAAATGCTTGGGCTGCTTTTAAGCACATTCACCCCAAAGCATTGCTGTGTGTTGATGAGACGTATTTCACAACAAGAAGATGCCAAATTACACGTTAGTTTGGGTGGAAAGAATGGATGTGATTTTTAATAAATTTTATACAAGTTTCATTCGTAATGAAAAAAGAACTTGAATGATAAAAATAGAAGTTTTTCTCCAGAAGACTAAGAGGGAGACGACAATGAAGAATTCAACTTAAAAAGAAAACCAAGATTTAATATTCATATTATCAAATTGATTTTACTTTTTTTTTTTAAAATAATTTATCAAGGGACGGTTTGAACCCGCTCAAGGGGAAGGGAAATGCACTTCATGGTAGCAGGGTAAGAATATTTGATTTCAAAAAATAAAAATTGATTTTACTTATTTTATAATTTTTATTTTTTGAAATCAAACATTCTTATATTCACCATAAGATATTTGAATTTTTCTTCTTTAATTATGAACTAATTTAGTTATTTAAGGCAATGATATAGTTTAGTTAATTTAATATAAGATTTTGTGATTTTTATATTTTTAAGATTTATTATTTCATATATATAAAGTATGTGGAGTATATAGTATAATCTTTAATATTTTTTAATGATTAATCATCATTAAAATTGATTTAGAAAGTATAATTGAGATTGAGAGGAAATTTTATAAAGTAACTTTTAATAATATATACAATAATTTAAATGAAAGTTAATAATGGATTAATGTGATTCATATAATATTAGTTATAAGTCCAAAAAAAAATTTCTATACGAATTGAAGAATTTTATATAGTATAATATATTTTTATCTATTTAAATTTATATAAAAATTTAATAAGTTAAAAAATAAGGATAGATTTAATATAAATTG